TCCCATTCTTTTTATTGTGTATAATGCAGTATGTGTTTCTTTCTGTTCTTCTTTTCTTGTCAGATAAACTTATATTAATTATTCCTTTGGCTATTAAAATAGTTTTAAGTATATTATTACAAAACATATACATTTTTAATATACACTACCTTATAATGTTAACTAAGAAAATACCTTTAATTACCTTTAAAATTAATAATATACAGGGCGATTGATAGTGATATTTATTAATGCTGGAACGTTAGTAATGAAATATAAGTTTAATAATAATGGAAATAATTTATTAAAATGCAGTACAAAAAGTGTTAACTCACTAAAATATACTATAATAACAAATTTCTTCCGTTTGCCACGTTATTTATATAGATCTAGGTAGATTTTAAAAAGTGACACAGGTACAATTAATAATATATTAGTTCGGCATAAAAGTTGCTGTCACGACATCGAACAATAAATTAAAATTCGTAAAATAAATTAAAATTATTAATTAAAGAAATCTTTATAAAGAAACGCAAGTATACCAAATTTGGGCCCAATCGAACTCCAGGAAATTATATCATAATAGTGTACTATATTATGGTACCACTTGATATGCTTTAAGGTACCATAATATTGCAATGTCACAGAAGATCCGTAATATACCAAATTTAAGAACAATCGAACGCCATGAAATGGTATCGTAATATGGTACTATATTAAGGTACCACTTTATATATATCATAGTACAATCATATTACAATGTAACCGAAGATACGTAGTATACCAAGTTTAAGCCCAATCGAACGCCAGGAAATGGTATCGTAATATGGTGCTATATTAAGGTACCGCTTTATATGCATCATAGTACCATCATATTACAATGTCACCGAAAATACGTAGTATAATATAATAATATGAAGTTTAAGCCCAATCGAACGCCATGTACGTAATATAGTACTATATTTGGTACCAGTTGATATGCTTCATGGTACCATAATAATGCAATGTCATCAAAAATACGCAAGTATATATCAAATATGAGCTCAATCGAACGCCAGGAAATGGTATTGAAATATGGTACTATATTAAGGTACCACTTTATATGCATCATAGTACCATCATATTACAATGTAACCGAAGATACGTAGTATAACAAATTTAAGTCCAATCGAACGCCAGGAAATGGTATCGCAATATGGTACTATATTATGGTACCTCTTATTATGCTCCATTGCACCATAATATTACAATATCACCGAAGATACGTAGTATCCCAAATTTAAGCCCAATCGAACGCCATGTACATAATATGGTACTATATTATGGTACCAGATGATATGCGTCATAGTACCATCATATTACAATGTCACCGAAAATACGTAGTATACCAAGTTTAAGCCCTATTGCCGCCATGTACCTAATATTGCTATGTCATCAAATATGGTACTATAGAAGGTACCACTTTATATGCTCCATGGTACCATGATATTACAATGTCACTGAAGATATAGTATACCAAGTTTAAGCCCAATCGAACGCCATGTATCGTAATATAGTACTATATTATGGTATCACTTGATATGCTTCTGAAAAAAACGGCGTCCAGTTGGCTGGAAAAGGACGATCGATGACATTTCCCATATAAATTTACATATAAAATGACAGCGATATTCATTTCATAGCCATGGCTAACGCCGTTTTTTCCCGATTATACGATATGAACTTGGTATGAACACAATTGAACGTCAGGAAGTGGTATCATAATAGTAGAACAATACTTATTATATTGTCGCCGAATTACAATGAAAATTCAGGATTCAATTATACAATCAAACGTCAGGAAGTGATTGTAATTTAGCTCATAAGATTTAATTCCAACTAACATGGCAAAGTGAAAAAATCACCTCTGATCTATTTTAATATGTTTAAAGATGTAGCAAATTTGAAGGTAGGCTTTATCAGAAAGTATTACGATATGAATTACACAATGGCAACACTGCACAAAATTCTTTTAAATTTTGTTTGTAGAAAACTGTTTTCTTTTAAATTTATTGCCCTCTATTATGTAGTAGCAAAACTACCACATCAAAATATCTGATTTGGAGACAGACTTTTAAAGCCTGTCTCCTTTTGCTACCTACAATTTTATACATGTAACGAGGCTTCTGTTGCGTAGCTAGATATTCTGTGCTAGTAGGCTTTGGACCCCTCATTGATGATATGCCCTTAATGGAACTCGAAAACATATTTTTCCAGCAAGACGACGCACCGCTTCTGAACGCTAAAGTTATCGGCAAATTTCTGCAGCCAATTTCAAGAATAATTGAATAGCTGACCAAGCACCCAGCCGTTAGCCGTCGAGGCCGCCTGACTTAGTTCCCATGGATCTAATCCTATGGATATATTTGCGGAAGAATAAAGGTTCCTTATTCTTCTGTATAATCTAGACAAGAATTAGAAATACTTATGAGAGGGTATATATACTTTATGAGAGGGTATCTTTCACCCCTACTGAGTTAATGAATTCCGCGAGAAATATTCAAAAACTGCCCCGTCTGTCCATAACAGAAGACGGTCGATATGTCGAACACCTGTAGCAAAATCTTATGTCCTGGTTTGCTATTTATTTTTATTGTTATTAGATATAGTTTAAATGTGTTGATGTTGGTTAAATATATTTTAAATTGTTATAAAATTCTGCATCTCTCATAGCAAATATTATTTTCGTTTTAATTGATGCTCACAGCTAGAATGTTTTTACATTACAGTCGGTGCCGTTCAAAGCCTACTTATTTAAAGCGGGCGAATTTTTATATACTCTATATCTCGAAGAGGGATCGAGCAAAATATCAAGTGTGTTATATTTTTGGAAAGGTAATTTTAAATTCTTTTCAATAAATTAAAAATATACAGTATGTCCCATATAAAAAATCAATTTTTCTGTTGATAACTCTTAAATTATTAATTTTAAAAAAATTATACTAAAACAATTAAATTCTACGTAAAAAGGTGCTTTGGAAATGTTTTCATAGAAATACAAAATTTTCCATAGCAAAAAGTTACAACGATTTGTTAAAAATGCACATTTTTGAAAACCACCCGTAACTCCGAAACGGTAACAGATATTGATGTGCGGTTTTCACCATCATGTTTTTGATGAAAATTGAGCTCCAGACACCGATATTAGTTTTCGTCTATCTCCTATAGAAAAGGGTGTTTCCATTTAAAAGCGTCGAATCTGACCCACCCTGTACATTACTTTTCTCAGAATTCATTTTTGTGCTGAGTTTAAAGGTAAAGAAATAGACTTTACTGAAAAATGGCATTGCTTCCTTAAATTTATACAGGGGTATCAAAAATTGCTGATCTATTTTAAGGATTTATTTTATATAAAAACTTCTTTATTTCAAATGCAACACCCTGTATTTTTATAAATAGATCGAAGCAGATTCAAATGCTCTTTCAAACTATATTAGGGTTTCCTATACCTATCTAGCTTAGATTTTAAATAAAAAGCGAGTTTTAAATAAAATTGCAATGAAGATGGCTGGTGTCGCCATTGCAATTTTCTAGTGACAGTCAGTAACTATTTTCAAAGTCGACATTAGTTTATGGACATTAGTTTATGAACAGTTTACTTAGATTTAGCTACGATAGTTTAATAAGTATTTATTATTTTATCAAGAAAAATAAAGCAGTGTCTGCTGGCGGATGGATATGTTTCTAGTGATTCTGTTTTGTGAGGAAAATTGTTTCTTGGCCAGTAACCAAAAACTAAACTGGTATAAATATAAATAAGCCCATAAACTAATTTCGATTTTGAAAATAGGGGTACTAACTGTTACTAGAAACTTGCCATGAGGACACTAGCCCGCTTGGTTGCCATTTTATTGAAAAATTGCTCTTTATTCAAAATCTGAGCTAGATAGGTATAGGAAACCCTAATACAGTTTGAAAGAGCATTTGAATTTGCTTTGATTTATTATAAAAAATGCAGGGTGTTGTATTTGAAATAACGAAGTTTTAATGTAAAATAAATCCTTAAAATAGACCAGCAATTTTGATACCCCTGTATAAATTTAAGGAAGCAATAACATTTTTCAGTAAAGTTTATTTCTCTACCTTTAAATTCAACACAAGAATTAATTCTGAAAAGTAATGTACAGGGTGTTAATAATCTATTCTATAGTAGCATGCAAATTTAAATATCTTTAAATATCTCAAAAACCAATGATTTTAAACATATTTAACCTTTACAATAAATGCCTTTTTTTGGATCCAGGAATCCAAAAATGAAATAAAATACCGGGTGTTCCATAAGAAAAAATATAAGTTTCGTATGAATCTTAGTTCTGAAACACTCTGTATATTTCAAAATAATTTTAAATTGTGCACATTGCCTCCTCACATATACCCATAAAATATTTTGTTTCTACATCTTTCCGTTTTCGTATAATCAACCGAGGCGAATGATGTGCGCCACCCTGTATACTAATATACCAAATCTCGTTTTGTTTTATCTGAAAAAAATAAAAAAGTTATAGGGGTGAGCAGGGTTCGGAAGTAGTTAATTAAGACGTAATTTACCTGAATAACTACGTGTAGTTTTTCTTCAAAAACTACGTCTTCTCCCGTTCATTAACTACATGAAAACTACGTTAATAAACTATGTATTGATATTATGAATAATTTTCATTTGTATGAGGTGTAACAGAGATAATATGATGTAAATATTATATTTAAAGCCATATTTCTTCTGTTTTCTTAAATACATTGTGTGTTTTTAAAGCTTCAACTTATTATAACCTCACCTCAAACCTTTGATTTTTGGAAGTTACATACATTGGTTACATAAACTACACCATCTACATAAACTACATTAACTACATGTAATGTAGTTTATGTAGTTTTTAAAAGTAACATGTAGTTTTCCGAACCCTGGGGGTGAGCCGCTTTTGTGTCGCATCCGGTATAAAAACATCCGGTACAAAAAATACACATATACGAAAGTATCTTTACACTTTATTACTTTACAATAACACATCTTTTTTAATATCAAATCCTATACATCTTATTATATCACTGCAATAAATAGAAAAATATAACCCATTCGATAAAAACGACGTCGCTGTATGCTTGGAAATTACGATCTATGGCATTTTTGTAAAAATATATGATGATCGTTATTGCCACGTGGTTTTTTTTTCGATCACAAGGTACCTAATTAATATAAACTATAATATTAATAGTATGTTTGTTTTGGTTTTGTTAGAGTTGGGCTTTAGAAATAAAACTTGCGTTGTCTGTATTTTTGCAGAATTATGCAACTACAACCTTGCTGATAATTAACCCTCTCTGTTATTAAGTAAAAACTGTAACGAAATAAGAAATAGGCAGGAGTATCATCCAGAATTAAAATTATATCATTATTTTTATATTATTCTGCTTTTCATCGGAATTTTCATCAAAATCATTTTGTCAAAGAAACAAATTTGGATTATTGTCTTCTAAATTACCATCAAAAATTGAACTTGCAATACTGGTTGTACTTCCACCTGGTTGTACTTCCTTTTGTTGGTTCAATGAAGTAGTAGTCAACTTAACGTCGTCACGAGCTATGTCGAATATGACCTTTTTCTTTGATAACGAACCAACTGATGGAAAACTTTTTAAAACTCCTTTCTGTTTGTCGTTTTCATTTTTCGCACTGCCCCCAGTGGCTGTCAAATGTTTATTTTCCAGATTTCTTGACTTTAGTTCGGTTATTACGTTAGAATAAATTGTGCTAGGACGAAAATTTTCATTGCTGCGTTTGTCGATATCATATTCACTATCCGAGTCTGTTTCATACAGAGCTCTATTATTTATTGTGACACTAGCCAGACTGAAACAAGAAAAATATTTAGAAGAGACAATTAATTAATAGTTGTAAATGGGTCATTATTTTGGTGGTCCATTATTGCGAGAAAATCGAATATCGTCGTTGTTGACAAAGATATTAAAAAATGTTTAAAATAAATGTTGCACGGTTTAAAAAGATGCATATCTTAGAAATATTTTCTTGTATAAAGGGATCCCAAAAAAAGTAAGTAATTTTTTTATATTGCAACCGCCGCAAAATTGAATTTATCTTAAAATTCGCATATAATAAGAAGAAGATGTGAAATGACAAGAGTGGCAGTGCGAAAACTCTCAAAGATATGGCGAGACAAAAACATATCTAAACACTTAAAAAAAAGACTTGTTCACTGCCTAATATTTCCTATATTAATGTATGGCTCCGAGTCCTGGACGATGAGACAGTCAGAAATGAAAAAAATTGACGCAACTGAGATGTACTGTTGGCGACGAATGCTCAGAATTCCCTGGACTGCCCGGCGAACCAATGAATCCATAATCCAAGAACTGAACATCACAGAACGCCTCTCAACTTCTATACAGTCACGTATACTTAAATATTTCGGTCACCTTATGAGGAGGGATACGGACTGTATGGAAAAACTCATTATACAGGGCAAGGTTCCGGAAAGAAGACCAAGAGGCCGCTCGCCCTCCCGATGGATAGACCAGCTATCAAAAATCACCCACAAGCCACTGCACACGCTTGTACATGAAGCACAAGACAGGGAATTATGGAGACAAACCTCACCCATCACCTGACCACTACATTCCTTTTGTAGGAATAAAGACAGAGAGAGAGATATACTACTAGGATACTTTTTTTAGCGACTATTTTTTGTTTCGTTCCCATACTAAAAATTTGATGGAAATGCTAAAAAAAATTCCCTGAAAATTTGAGCCCTTAATATTAATATTAAGTAAAGATTTAAAGTAAATATTAACTTTATTATTTTTATTTATTAATTATTATTAATAAATAAAGTTAACGTCTCCTTTTTGCTGCCAGGGCTAATGTGGACGGGGCCTACTTTGTTTACGCGGAATCCGAACCGCGGTCCTCAGCCATATCATGGTCAATGGCCTACCGACTTGCCAAGTGTCTAAATCGACTCTTACTCACGAGATATCCGATCTCATCCGGCCTCGAACCGGCGTGAATGGGCAGTGAGTGTCAAAAGATTTTACACTTTTGCCTTTTTTGGACAACAGCACGATACAGAGTTTCGAACCGGTCACTCGTCTATCCACTAGTATCGCCCTACGTCGTTTAACTTTGGTGTTTTAATTAATATTAAGTACTCGCCCAAGACATCTAAAGATTTTCCATTTAAAATACACGTATAAACTTTCATTGCCGTTTTTTAATTTCTATAGCTCAGTGGCATTCTATAGTATTATTTTACTCAATGGAGGGTTTTTCTCAGAATTGAACGCTCTACAAAAGTGTTCATTGCGGCTTACCCCTAAAGGATGATTCACGGTACACCGGACCGTACCCGAGCCGGGCACGTTCCGTAAAGTAGACACCGAGCCACGTCCGGGCCTTCAATATATGCAACACCGAGTGGACAACGGGCGACAACGGGGATCATGTCCGTGCCGATTATATTCTAGAAAACAGTGTTGCCGCAGTGGTACATTTGTACCAAATTTGATACTTTTAATTCTATTTGGTACAGTTGTACTACATTTTCAAATCCAGGATGATTCGGTCAGGGCCGGCGGAAGGAAAATATTGAGACCGGGCGAGTACCCTATCTGGCGCCCCCTCCTTAACAGTTATTATAACTCTCTTTTTCCTTCAGTCCTATACTTTAACTATACAAACTAAGCATATTTATGCTACTTTAACAACAAATTTTCACTTAAAGGTACTTCAAAATTCTTCTCTTCGATCAATCATCTTAGTCTGCGATTGTTGTTTTTTCTACACCGGTCTCGAAAGTGACTCACTCCTATAAATTTTTGATTTTTTTTAGATAAAAAAACGAGTTCTGGTATGTTCGTATATGACATATATTAGGTTTGATTGACGTATTCAATGGTTTTTAGTCACTTCCTGTTTGACCGGAAATGACTAAAACTTTTGATTTTTAAATGCACCCTCGGTATATTTCTACCTTTATTCCAAAAGAAAATGACATTCTGAGTAGAATGGCATATCATATGTCAACTTTTGACATTTTCGCTTAAAAAAATCAGTAGTGCCAGGGCTGTGTTAAAAATAAACAAATTATAGGGGGAGAAACTTCTGAGACGCACTCGGTATATAGAGCATAAGAAATAGAATTCCAACTTCGGCAGTCTCGTTCTGGTATAAGTGATCTTTGAAAACATAACAGTATTTAATTGCAAGCAGTTGCATTATTTTTTATTATATTTTATTATTAAGAATTTAAGAAAAATTTCCTTTCTTTTTCACAAACAATTACATATTTAGTGCAGAATCAGTATTATGATCAGACGGTTTTGTCGGTTGCAAAATGAGGATCAGCCAATGTTTGAGATGCATTTCTTTGTGAGAAATTTTTCTTTGTGTGATTCCTCTAATGAGAAAATTCTACGATTTTGCTACCATTTTCAGTGTATTACTACATATTCAATCCGGAACAATCAAAACCCCCAAAAGATTAATATCTTTCCCACTACTATTAATAAATTAATTTAATTAATGAGGCAAACTTATAAGTTTTTTTTTTGATAATAATGATATCGGGATCCTTTTTAGCTTCTTGTGAATGAATATTTGCCGCATATAACTTTAGGGCATATCAGCCATTAATAACAAATAAAGGGTGTGTGTAGAAAAAGGGCAATTTTGAGCGGTCAGTCTAAAACTGTTAATTTTGCTGGCTCTTGACCCAAAACAGTTTGTTTAGAAATTTATAAAAACGAGAATTATAGAAAGAAGGATTATTTACAAAAAGTTGCTAGCTTTTGAGTTATAAAAATGCCACAAACAAATCCGATTTATATCTTTATTTTTTATTTAATTTTGTTTAATATTCTTCCACGAAAATGAATTCGCAAATCCCAGTTTCGGATAGAGCACTCAAAAAACATATAGAATAGAAGAAATCAAAACTATCCCAAAGCTTTCGTGCTAACGATTTTTTTGAGCATAATTTCAGTAAACTATAAAGGATACATCTAGGATACAGTATAGTGTTTATAATGTTTAGTCAGATATTCTTCCCTATGTGGTGTGGTATAGTATTTTTAATACCTATTTAGAGGTACCAGCCGTTTTAGTAACTTAACGTATGCGGCTTCTTGAACCATCTGAACCCGCATGAAAAACTGGAACTTTTAGTGCTTTGGACGCTTTTTGAATTGCCTTAAATTGAGATCCTAAATCGTTTTGAAAATAATTTGCTACATTAAGTATAAGTATTTTGGATTCATCAGAATATCGCATTTTTATTATTTTTATATCTTATTTTACATTATGACATTAACATGAAATCAAAATTTGACGTAACTTTAAAAACGTGACATCTAACAAATTAGTTATCGACGTTCCTTTTTGTTGGTAATTTTTTGTTTCAACTGATTTATTAATAATAAATAAGGATGGTGTTATTCTAAATGGGTATTAAAAATACTATAATAGCTAATGTGTTAATATGGAAATTGACAGTACCGATTAATTATTGAACTGGATATTCGTTACTATTTGTTTAGATTACTGTTTTTAAATATTTTAGTTGCTGCCGTGGCGCCCCTCGTTACAGGCGCCCCGGGAGGCCGCCCGGGTCGCCCGGCCCTTCCGCCGGCCCTGGATTCGGTACAATAATTATTTCCCACGCGCACCGAAAATGAATAGATATTTAATAATTATCGTCGTTGATATTGCATTAAACGCGCTTACTGATACCATTCGGAGACAATCCGCATTAATTAACGACGTATTATAAACGTTGTAATGTCCATAGGGTTGCCTATATTAAATAACCCGAAGAAAAGATTTAAAAATTTGCTGTTTCTAACATGCTTCTATATTTGCGTTTTTTTAAATAAAATTTAAGTTATCAAGTAGAAGAAGTATCGTGTGTAGTATTAGAATTACTTACATTTCTTCAACCTATACATACTTATAATTGGGTTTTCTGAATTTCTATTTCATGTTTTTCGTCTCGATTTGTGTCTTTCTCCAGGAAGTTTTTTTATGTAGAAATTTATGAAGAAATTCACAACGACCAAACCGGTTAAAGTCATTTGTAGATGTATTTTGTTGTGCTTTAAAAAATTGTACCAAAGTGGTACATTTTTAGTTTATAATGTGGTACGCGCTAAAAGTTGGGTGCGGCAACACTGCTAGAAAACAGTCGCTATAGGCCCCTAGACGAACGAAGTATTTAGCCGCGGCGGCTCATTTATGTTTGCCGCAACGGGGCCGGAACGTAGCGGATCCGAGGAAAAATGTACACCGACATTTCTTGGACGGGGCACGGACGCGTTCCGGCGAAGCTCGGACCGTGCTCGGCTTAGCATGAATGTATAAGTTACAGAATATACTAACGAAAAGAAGCCCAAGTTCCTTGTAATAAATCGGTTCCATTTTCGTAACGCCATCTCTCGACATAGCTGACATTATAGGTTAGCCAAAGGGGTGCGGAGCCGGGGGAATTGTAAAATACACTTTTTTATTTTAATTATTTTTATTCGCTATTTGCAATTTTATTTTTAAAACATATTATGTGAAACAATCACATAATATGTCTTAAAAATAAAATTACAAACGGAAACAAAAGGAATTAAATAATCTGAAAATCTACAAAGTTTATTGATAAAAAAGTTAGGCTATGCAAATTGATAAGTATATTAAGTATAACATCTTTGGTATAACATTGTTAAACAAACATTAACAAATCATAACATATCAGATCATAGAACTAAAAAAAGTACTATTACATAACAACAGGTGATACAATACTTCAAAATTAATTTTAACATAATATCAAAACCGAAAAATCAAACTGCAAACACAACCACACTTATCACAACAGAAATTAACACACACTTTCGCGGCAAATGTCCAAGAAAGACTGATCATTCTGATTGGTCCTGGTTCGGTCGTAGCTCACATCGTATTGTCGGTAAGCAAAATCCCTGTCCAAAAATTTTGACGATCAGCGCCATCATCCGTCATAATTGGGAAACTTTTGCTGGAACTATTTTTAATATTTCACTTACATGGCCCTGGTACAAGTATAAATAACATTTGACAATGTTTGGCCGTGCCTTCACCGTCGCACGGCTCCGGCCCGTCACGGTGTACCGTGAATCATCCTTAACTCGCTCTAACGGGGTAGTACGGGCCACTAAACCCAATTTTTTCATAAAATTCTTGTTTTTCTGCCATTATCTCGTCAATGACAAGAGCTGGAGAAAAAATGCGAAGAACAGTTTAGGAAATTTAATTTCCTATAAAAAAGGTCCATTTCCTATAAAAGAGTCACCCATAATTGGCTAATTTTGCAAGATATTAGTCGTTAACGTTTACGTCGTCGCTATTAGTCAAATTTTTTTATTGCAAAAATGCCTCAGAGATTTAACCAAAATGAACAAGAGCTCATTGCTAAGCTTATAAATTATTTGTCTTGAGAAAGAGACAGTAGAACACTCTTGCCCGTGGACGTCGTTTAATAAGTAAGTACAATTAGTCCAATCAGTGGGGGGCCATTATAGGCCTCTACCATACATAAGGTGGTGTACAGCTGGTTCCAATAAAATTGAATACGATTTAAAACATATTTTTATTATTTCGGGCAATCTATTCTATGATACCAGTCCCCCATTTCACTACTCATGTCATACTGACGTTCTGAAAAGTTTATTTGCCACTTTGTCAAAAGCAAAGTTGTTTTATACAATGTCACAATAACCTTGATATGTCAAAATACTTGACGCCATAAATATACACTGCCCAAATATTCGAAAAAAATGTGTAAAGAGTCGTATTCATTTTTTTTGGAACCAGCTGTACCTAGTAGTAATTTTTTAATATGTTGTTAAGGTTTAGGTCTTGATGAAAATCCCAAGTTTTCGACCTTGGGGTGCGACATCTCGAGCCGCCATCTTGAATTAAAGATACAAAAAGCTGTATTTTTCAAAATATATCCGCAGCGGTTAATCTTACGATCAAAATGTTAGAATAAAAGGTAGATATCGATATTTTTTCGATATATCAAGTATAACGAGACATTCGGAGATAACCAAATCAATATTTTGGATGGAGGATACCTTTTGCACAAAGTTGTATGGCACCGTAATGGTTCATTTGCACACATTTCCGAAAAGTACGTTCAATATGTACGAAATCACTACGGTTCACATGCAGTCGTTGTTTTTGATGGATATCCGAGTGATGGAGCCAAAAGAAATACCAAGGCCGCAGAAGGACTTCGCCGATCGAAGAAGCATTTGTCTGCAGATGCTCTCTTCGATGACACAATGCCCGTTCAAGTTTCCCAAGAATTATTTTTAGCCAACAAAAACAATAAAGACCGTTTAATTTCGATGCTCACCAAAAAAATGGAGCAGGCTGCTATTACCGTCAACCAGGCGGAAGAAGATGCTGATGTGTTGATTGTCAGAACAGCGATTTCCTTGTGCCCAAAATTTGATGTTGTTTTCGTAGTTTTGCTGACGGCATTGGCACCGTCTCAAGGCAACATCTACCTCCGCAAACCAGAAAAAGGCAAAATTACCGAAAGAATATATTCAGCTAATAGTTTAAAACATGAAAAAGTAGCTGATAACATTTTGTTTCTCCATGCTTTTAGTGGCTGTGACACGACATCGTCAATCTTCAACCAAGGAAAAATTAAGTTTTGTTCGCATCTCCAGAAAACAGCAGGACTCAGTGACACCATTGGTATTTTTAAACGTCAGGATGCAACACCAGAGGACACCGCAGATGCTTGAACACGCTTTCTCGTTGCTTTGTATGGTGGCAACTTAGAAGAAGATGCCTTAGAAGAAATCCGCTACCAACGTTTTGCTAGATCTACCACAAAAAGTAAATCCAATCTTGCTTCATTGCCACCAACGAAGGATGCTGCGCGGTATCATTCTCTCAGGAAATATCATCAAGTCCAGAAATGGGGTATCGAATCGAGAAAAAAACCTGAAGACTGGGACTGGAAACTGGGCAGCAATGGGCTTGTTCCACTCACCATGACAAAACAAGCAACACCCAACAACTTATTGAAATTCATTTTTAATGGATTTAACAATGGAAGAGCAATATATTCCCATAAGCACCGATTACGATGATACCGAAGACAATACTCAAAACGTTAAATGCAAAGTGTAATATTCCTATGAAAATTGATAGCGTTTTAAAATACTACAGCGAGTTGCTGATGCTTTAGAAATAGGAATTTCAACAGTGCAAAGGAATGGAATTAAAGGGATCGTAACTGGTCAAGAGTTCAAGAAAAAATAAATTAATGCTGAAAAAACGGAACTCGCTCAATCAATAATATAGAAACGTACTTAAATTTTTCTAAACAATATGAACTGATCTCAGACACATCCTAAAACTTATATTTGACAAATAATGATGATGTAACGGCGAACGATGGGTGAACAGTCTTTACATACATTATAAATTTGAGTTCAACTTCTCAGGTTTACACTAGTATACAGCATTGAACACAAATTTATAATATGTATAGGTAGTAGAAATTTAACTTTTAAAATAACTATAATAGTTTAAAAAAGTAACCAATATTTACGTTTGTCTCTTTGGTTTGGCTCTACATGTAAGTTTAATTATATTTTGGTGATCTGTCCTTTTCTGTCCATTTTTAAAATTTGCCTTCTTTTCCTTATTTGTACAACGATCTTCTATAGTTTTCACAATTGATTTCTTAATCCTCTCAAAATCTGGATACATCTGTAATTAAACAAAGATAAATTTAATTTTTGAAGAGAAAATTCCAATTTTTAATCAATTGGTACAAGAAATATTATTATAATTAATATATGTATATTAATAAGTGCAACAATATATTAATAAGGAGACGCAATTGAATTTGTAATCGAACATCTTTCAATTGTTTCAATGTTTTAAATAAAAATTAGGCGGTTTAACCGCCTCAAGGGCTCTTATTTGTGGTTGACTGGTCAGCGATGCTTCACGGTGGAGTTTTCAATGCATCCCACAAGCCAATTTTTTGTCAATGTAGTTTTTTATGAAGGTCTCTTTTACCACGTTGATGTCCTGAGGTAGGAATGAATAAATTCCGAAAGCTTGACAATTAACAAAGTGTATTAATTCTACTTTAAACCCTTCCGACTGCAACCCCACTAGTTCCTAGTTTTTCTTTCACTAGTCAGTTGATACTATACTGTCTGCTTATCCATATATTTTTTTTTCCTTTCTTGGGTATGAGCTTTTATAATAAATTGAAAGATGGAAAACTTTTTTTATGCGTCGTTATGCGCATTTTTTACGAATAATTTGGTACCACATACGATTTTGGTACCACTCTCTCGAAAATTCTCAGAGAGTATAAAATTGACTTAGTGCTTGTCCAGGAATCTCATCTAGCGGATGAAGACCAAGCTCGATTCAGAGCTATAATCCCCGGCTATGACATAATTGGCATTACTTACCATGACATTTACGGCCTAATAACATATGCTCGCAACGATATTGAAAACGTTAAGTTAATATCTACTTCCAGCAAAGATGACATCTACTCGATCGCTGTTACAATGGGTGAAACGCATATAATAAATATATACAAACCCCCCGCAACAGCATGGCCACGCCATATTCTCGATACCTTCCCCTGTCCAGCTATTTATGCAGGCGACTTTAACAGTCACCATACCAGCTGGAAATATAACCATAATAATCCCAACGGAGAAGCACTCGTCGAGTGGGCTGAAGTGCATAGTCTCCACTTAGTATTTGATGCAAAGGACAGAGCATCTTTCAGATCTGCTGCGTGGAATAGAGAATTCAATCCGGATTTAACATTTGTGACTTGCGATGATAAAGGGCAACCGATCAATATAGCCAGAAAGGTACTTGATGATTTTCCCAAAAGCCAGCACCGTCCCATATTGCTTGAGGTGGGCACTCAAATACCTGTTATAAGATCGCTCCCCAGACCAAGATGGAACTTCAGAAAAGCCAATTGGAGCCAGTATAAGGAGGAACTTGAGAACTGCATAGGTAGAATTCCTCCCAGGTATAATAACTACCATAGGTTTATCGGACTTCTTAAATCAATTGCTAAAAAACATATACCTAGAGGTTACCGAAAAGAATATATTCCAGGCTGGAATTCACATAGCGAAGATCTGTACAAAAATTTCCTGCGCAGCAAAGACCCTGAAATTGGAGACGAACTTCTTCATTCTCTTGACGCAGCCCGCAGGACTAGGTGGATCGAAACAACTAAAAGTCTGAATTTTCAGCATTCCAGTAGAAAGGGTTGGAGTCTCCTTAAAAAGTTAGGTGCTAGTAATCCGGTGAAACGCGAGGACCCTGAAGTCAGCCCAAACCAGATCGCTAACAGAATAGTCTCACTATCTAGAGCTCCTAGAGACCGAGAGCACACAATGAAAATTAAAAGGGAACTACGCAATTTAAAGGCCAATAGCACCGAAGAATGCCACCTTTTTAGACCTTTCGATAGAGAAGAGCTAACGGAAGCCCTAACGAATATTAAAACGGGAAAAGCGCCGGGGTTTGATGGAATTCATAACGAATTTCTCATTAATACAGGACCAAATGTAAGACAATGGTTCGCAAATTTCTTTACCGATATATTAAATAATAGTGCGATCCCTAAAGACATGAAAAAAGCAAAAATAGTTTCTGTCCTAAAGCCTGGCAAACCTAAAGATAGGCCAGAAAGTTATAGACCCATTTCCCTTCTTAGCTCTTGCTATAAACTCCTAGAAAGGCTAATTTTGGAAAGAATAGTGGGAAAAGTAAACAACTGTGTGCCAGCATATCAAGCAGGATTTCGACCAAATCGTAGCTGTACAGACCAGGTAATGAGCCTTACAACACATATTGAGGCTGGTTTCCAAAGAGGACTGAAAACATCAGCAGTCTTTGTTGACCTGACTGCCGCCTATGACACAGTGTGGCGGCACGGCTTGCTGTATAAGTTCCTGCGAATAGATCGAAATATAAAATTAGCCAAGTTACTTAACACAATGCTGTGCGACAGACTTTTCCAGGTAATAATGAGTGACAAAGCCAGCAAGTTAAAGACATTACAAAATGGATTGCCACAAGGTTCCGTACTTGCTTCAGTTTTATTTAATTTATATATATCGGACATGCCAGTAACGCAGTCTAAAAAATTTGCTTACGCTGATGACTTAGCTTTGGTAGTGAGTAATAAAAGCATGGAAGCTACTGAACAGACCCTAACCAACGATTTGGAGATTTTGGGTGATTTTTATCGTAAATGGAGACTAACACCAAACCCCAGCAAAACAGAAAGCACCTGCTTCCACCTAAATAATAAACTAGCTAACAGGGAGCTCACAATATAATTTAATGGTGCTATTCTCCGACATAATCCAACTCCAAAATACCTAGGAATCACACTGGATAGAACTTTGTCCTACAAGGCGCATATAATCAACACCGCAGCAAAAGTACGGACAAGAAATAACATTATTGGAAAACTATGTGGCACAACATGGGGTGCGACAGCAGAAACCCTCCGAGCTTATTTTATGTTATTTATTATTTATTCTACTACTGATAGTTGTATAAAGGTAGTAAATCTAGATGGAAATTGTGGCAGAACTTAAATTAACAGTGACACTATCGCGATTTATCGAAAAAGACTCTAAAATAGTTGGTTGTGTAGCGTGCGGTAGATCTCGGCAAAAATGTGTGAAATAATGGAACAACTTTTCGCTAGTAAGTGACTATATAATATACATACGTGTAGTAAACCGATCATTTATGAAATTCACTTAAATTAACTAAATTATATATTTTTCTTGCATTTTAGCTTTTATTTATTACTTGTCAAAGATTAGATGTCAAAGAATTTAGATACGTTAATTTGACTTACCTGCTTCAGTAGCGTATCGGATGTTTGTGGTAATAAATACTTATTATAACATCTATTTTTATTAGAATTATATATTTTTATAACAATTTTAATAACTACCAACATTTATTCACAACGTAAAATAAAACAACAAATTATTGAGTCTACCCCACGTCTACCCTACATCATAGTTTTACATTTTTTAAATAAAATTAGAACGACACTGATAAACCGGAATTTAAGTCGGCCATATTTGAGGCCCATCGCGGTGTACCTAAGATTTTTGATATGCTCCTTCCTTAGTCTTCTTATTCAAAGGTGTATACCCTCGGAGGAAGAACATCTGTTGTCAGTGGAGGAAAGGCAATACCCCGTCCCCCCTACAACAGAAAAATTCATGAGGGGTTATAGACTGTGTGATGAGTTATGACTCAAGGAAGCGGGGCATAATAGATCTTTAAGGTCGCAGTGATTAACCCCCCCTCCCTCTCTAATTCTACATTCTCTTTCTACAGTGGCGTCTGTCCTTTTTTACAGGTAAATTTTATTTTCATTTTCATTTTTTGGATGTCATCTATCGAACTACGGTAACTCGCTGGACAGACTAATGTTAACCATAGTGTGGAGTATATACTAAAAAAAATAGTTGTTTAAATTCTTTAAATTACGGACAATCCATTTAGAGATTGGGACGTTCGTAGTTGGAATCGGAGAAAAATGCTATTTAGGCTGTAACATAGGATACAAATTTGTACCATACCAATTCTTACAAATTCATATGACCAGTGTACAGGGTGTCCCATTTTCGTTCGGGGTACGTTTTATGAGGGGTTTATGAGAAATATAATGGCGCGATTTTCACATCATTGTGCTGCCTTTTTAATGAAAATAGTGATGACCGTCTTGGAGCGTCGTAACTCGGGTCCTATGTGAGCTAGGTGGCTGAAACTCGTAATGTATACGTATGTATGTGTTTTCATGATATTTTGACAACGTTTCGTGCACTACGAAACCCCACCATCAATGAATAAAATAAAAAAATCGTCAGCTTTAAATGAAATCTGATATGTCGATAGATTGGTTTCAGGCCTAAACGTAAGCTGTGCCTAAACTTACGTGACGACACGTGTCACTGTGTGACATTTGATAACACCAATGACTAAAGAATATAAGGACATGTAAAGCCCCTATACGGGTTGCAGCAGAATCTGTGACCTTAGAGACCTTTCTTTTGGTGGCAAACAATGAGTCATCATTTGGTCACCAGCGACAATTTTAGCGATTTTTAATAGTTTGTGTGTAGTAAACTTTGTATAAACTTTATTACAATGGTGACTAGTTGTTCAGCTTTCAAGTGTAAAAGCAGCAGCGATAAGAAAGAGCCGGAGTTACGTTTCATAGGTAAATAAACAGTCCACTCCAACTTTATAGCGTTTTCTTATTGAATTCGATAATTATTCTTCAATTTCAATTATCATCTATATGAACTCGATATGTGCTATACGTCGATACTAGTTTTTTAACCTTTTGTTAACATTTTAATACGTTTTTTTCGTAATTAATTAGTTTGATACACCATAGCCGTAGTCAAAACAATTATCAAAAAATATAAATATTGCTTCAAACAGCTAGGTTAAGAAAAATATGTGCCACGGCACTGCTTGGTGACATCGGCACAATTTGCTCTCGGGTGTTATTTGTCCTTGGATTCTTTAGTCATTGGATGACACCCTTGACGTTTCGAGCCGATGCCTCTAAATGGACGTCAAGATTCATCAGAACACACAGAAACTAGCGTGGAATAGCCAATAACCAAAATTTGATGTCGAATAAAGTATTCGATTTTTTTTTATTAGTACCTATTTTAAACCGGCCGCCTATGTTAAAAATTGAAATAATGCATTTTGTTTATGAAAATAAATATAGAGTATGTTATATTTTCAGAAAGCTCATAACAAAGCAAATAAGATAAAAGTATAGTATACAGGTATCCCATTTAAAAAAACATAAGTTTGAGTCTTATTTACCTGCTTTAATAGATATGACTGATGATTTACTAATTTTGATGTTGTCGCAAAAGTATTTTCAGGAATAGCACTCCAATTTTTTGAAATTCCTATATTTTGTAATTGTTTTAAGAGTATATAGTTAACATTTTTTTTAAAACTCTGAGCATTGAAAGGTTTGGTTGGAACTGAACTCCTAAAACAAATAATATTGAAATCTATATACTGAAAAAAATAATAATAATTATCTATTACTCTGGATTTTCATTTTTTTCCAATTCCATATTGGGTACTTCTGAAATTTGAGAGTCAGATGTACTAGAAAAACATTCTTTTTCGTAAGTCCTTGATATTTCTGTAGACAGAATACAGTTAGCAATAACAGCTATTATTGTAAAATTGACTTAATTTTTGTTCAATATTTTTATAGATACCTGATTTTATTTCCTGGGATTCTGTTTTTGGTATTATTAAGTCTACTTCTGGCCCTTTTTCATGCTTCACTTGTTTGATAAAGGTATCTTCATTTTTACTAACACAAGTAAATTTTGTTCTAGGTTTAATTTTTGGTTTCTCTGAAGGTATTACTTCTTTTTGTCTGAAAACATCTTCACTTTCTACTAAAAATTCCTGGTTATTACAATCTGTAGTTTTTGAAGTTTCATTTAATTTTGAACAAAACATTTGCATTTGTCCTTCAATATTAGCTAATGTTGCAGATATTTTTTCAACAATTATACTTTCAGAAAAATTTGATTCATTATGTACATTGGTTTTACTAACACTGACAGTTTGGTCATTGCAAGGTTCGATATTCTGTAAAATTGTATCAGTCTGAGTCATGACATCGTTTTTTACAGTAGCCAATAATTTTCTATTTTCAAATAAATTCTTATTGAGTAAAGTATCAAGTATTTGATTAATGTTCTCCTCATATGAGTCTTTCTGCATTTTTAGATCTTGAAATTCTATAATAATTTGTTCCCTAAATTTCTCAAATATTTTAAGAAAGTCATTTTCTGAGTATTTACTGGTTTGCTGATGCTGGCTATTTTTTTCTTCCAATAATTTTTCTGTAGTATTCAATCTTTCTTTTAATTCTTTAATCTCTAAATCTATTTTGTCAGTATGAAAGTTGGACTGCTTGGTATTGACATTTCCATGCTTCCTTTGCATATGAGAATTTAAATACTCTTCAGCAGAAAATACCTTTAAACAGATATTGCATTTAAATGTTAATATTGATTGTTGTTTAATCAAGACTTTAAGTTGTTCTTTTAGTTCTTCAATAAAAATGTTTAATTCCTTCATCTCCTACAAATAAAAATACTACATGTTCAAAAATAGATGACGTCAAAGCTGACATAGAAACTTTTTTTTCATTAAATGACGGTACAGGGTGTCCCATTTTTGTGTTTTACAGGGTTTCTCGTTTATGAGTAGAGGTACAAAGATGCGATTTTCACATTACACTAGGTACTCATTTTTTGAAACTAATTCAGTTGCGTAACTAGTTTTTTGCTGGGAGCTATCATTCTTGAAATATGATCCAAATTTATGTTTTTTTTTAACTGGGATACTCTGTATATTATTTTATTTGCTTAGTTTAAGGTATAAGCACAGATTAGGTATCCTATAAGTATACAGATAAAAATCTTATCCCTAATTCGTGGTACGAAAATTGTTTTTTATGACGATGAGCAAACTAGTAAAATTTCCTGTGTGCAAAAATAAACTCGCGCTTAAATAGCGTAATAACCACTTTCATTTGAGACAGTACTCCGGGCCGGTCACAAGGCCGCACAGTAGGCAATATGTCCAAACTAAGTTGCAAAAAATAACATCCACAGTTAGCATTTATGGCAATTACATTAGATTGGAAACATATTAGTTAAGAGGAAACCACATAAAACTAACAAAAAAACATATTCGGAGTCTCTTTCGAGGGGCTGTAAAACGAACTTTGCGCAAAACCTACATTTTCAGTTAATTTGTGTCCAATAACTGCCTTTTTTCTACAATTTTTTAAATAGTAGGCGTTGCATTCAAGTGATACAGTATTATAACAATTGTATCGGACGACCTTAGCTTACTGTCAATAATTATTGTAAAAATGTCATAACGTGTTTTACGTAGATTCCCGGTTGCGGTAAATTTAATGTGAAGGTAAGTAAAAAAGTATCTTTTATTTTGATTTTTTGGATAAAAACTAGGTAAAGGTCAAAGTAGAACATAATCATTTAATGTTTTTTTGATAGTGGCATATATTCTATCTTAGAAAAGTTAAGTCAAAGAAATCATAAAAAAATCGCAACATTAAATTTATTGGAAGCGTAAGCCTCCATGCGTATGTGTATAGTAACATCCTTTATGTGGATACTTCTCATAAATTAATTGTTATAGTAGGTAGAGCTAGAGAAGAACTTGAAATATAAAGTTACGTAACTTTTCTCAAGATTTCCGAAGAGATATGTCATAAATGTCAAATTACATTTTTTGACAAATTGACAAATTTTGACAGTACCTAATTTTTTAAATTAAATGAAATGGATTTTTCTTTCAGATTTAAAAATATGCACTTCGTGCCCATTGCTTCCAGCTGTTATAAAACAAAATATCAGTAAATAGTAGGTGGTCAAATAAAATTTAGATATTTTTAATAGGTTCTGTTATTTTCTATATCGTCATTGTTTAATTCTCAGAATATTGTTACTTATTTAAAATATAATTTGAAAAAAATTGTTCACATATTGTCTGGTATTATTAGAGACCCAACTTATTCAAATGACAAACAATCTTGAATAAAAGTTCGATTGGATTAGTATACAAGGGTTTTCTTTTATACATTGACACCCCTTTATCTTTTTTTATTTGACGTTTCCGAAAACTGTCTCAAATGAAAGTGGTTTTGAATAAATTTGCTAAAAAGTCTATTTCGCATATACAAAGTGGTTCAAAAGTCTGGGCATGGAACAACTATCTTATTTCAAATTAGGTATAGGCTATGCTACAAAAGTAGTTAGGATTTTTAGGAGAAAATAAAAATCAAATAAAAAATTGGGTACTAATTTGAAATAAGAAAGTTAGGCCACACACAGATTTCTAAGATACCCTGTATATGCAAAGAAGACTGTTTTGAAAATGTATTCGAGACCATTAAACTTTATTTAAGACACTTTTTCGAAAACGTCGAATAAAAAAGATACAGAGAAGATGTCAATATAAAACAAACCCTGTATATGGTGGAGGAGTAATAATTGCTCAGTATTTGTCTGTTTCATCTTGGCTCTGCCAAAATCGTAAAATTTAGTGAAATGTAAAATATTCTTACCGCATTTTGATAGCTGTATTAGTCAAAGATGATTTTTCCATTTTATGAATCCCCTCCACCACCCCCAAATACAGGGTATGCCAGAAATAAGTGCAGATATGTTAACTGGTAGTGTAGTTTAACCGCAGAAACACGCCTATGAGGTTTTTTTTTGTGAAAAAAAAATTGAAAATTCTAAAGTTTTTGAAAAATTTTTATAGAATTTTTTTTAGTTTTCAGTTAAAAAACATAATTTCTTGGTAATATGGCAACATAGATATTAGATTAAATTTATAAGAAAGAAAATTCAGAAAAGATCCAGTGGTTCTCAAAATTTTAGCAAAAAATCATTTTTTTTTTAAATTTTCAAAGTAAAATAACTCCGTTATTTTGGACTTATTTGAAAAACGAGAAAGAGAAAATATGTTGCTTTTATTGAGATCTACCACCCCTTAAAATACTTGCACTTATTTCTGAGACACCGTATACTGTATATTTATTTTCATAAATAAAGTAAAAATGTATTATAAAATGTCTATACGTATGTGGCGGATTCATCTATCCAAAAAAATCCTTATGGGTTTTTCGCCACTGCACTGCAAGAAAAATCTACAAAATAAAATAGTTATTTTTTGTAAACACTTCTGCGTTAAACCTAAACGGACGCTGCTTGTCAGAAGTTGTGTTTACAGTAATAAAAATTTGCCTAACAAAGAAAAAAATGCTTAACGTTTCGGAAAGTTTTCTCTTTCCGTCGTCGGAAGCAAAAAAAATATAAAGAATCAAGAAAAAAACTATTTCAAATATTTAAATTGAACTATTCGAGAACACTTTACCATCACTTTACTTTTTAAAACAGATACGTCTACAAGAAATCGTTGACGTTCTGTTAAAATGACATTATATTAAGTTAAACTTCAAAATTAACAATTACTACCTGATAATTACTTAATAAGGTAAAACCAAAAAGCCCAAACTTTCTGTATGATTATTTTTAAATTTTACGTATGTTATGTTTATTTATGTAATGTTCTTTAAAATCAAAGAAGCGATTGCCATACATTACTAACATCTACAGATGCATGAGCAATACATTTATTTTTATTAGATTGAATAGAGGCTATCGCTTCTTTCATTATAATTTTGGCGTTATTAAAATTTATTCTGTACCCTGTGTCCCATGAATGCTGACAAATCTTAGATTTGTGAAAATCTCCTTTCTTAAATAATCTTTATGTTCTTTAATTCTAACATTTAAGGGTCTAGATGTTTCACCAATGTAAAATTTATCGCATTCACAGGGGTATTTGGTATATTACATTTTTGTTTGTTGTTCTTTATTCATTGGTTTAGTATGTGATAAAATTGATCTAAGTGTATTTTGTGTTTTGAAAGATGTTTGTATGTTATATTGTTTTCCTATCCTTCTTATTTTTTCCGAAACGCCCTCGTATGTATGGAATTGTAAGTTGTATATATTATGTATTGTTATCTTTGTGTCTATGATTTGGGGGTTTGTATTTCGTTTAATGTTTTGTCAATAAAATATGGTGGATAGTCGTTTTTTATTAATGTATTTTTTATGTGGTTTATATCTTTGTTTAGTGAAATGTCATCTGTACATATTATTTTTGCCCTATCATATAAACTTTTTATAACACCTTTTTTACACTTATACTGTGATTAGATGTGAAATTTAAGTATCTATCTGTGTTTGTGGGTTTTCTGTAAACATCTAAAATTAGTTTATTTTGAAATTTTGACACTAAAACATCAAGAAATGGCAAACGATTACCTCTCTCTACTTCTAAAGTAAATTTTATGGTAGGTTCGCGAGAATTTATATATTCCAAAAAAATGTCTATTTCAGAAACGTTATGTTGCCATATTGCAAAAATATCATCAACATAACGCAGCCATGTTACAGGCTTTTTTGAAAAACTATTTATTATATTATTTTCAAAATCTTCTATAAAAATATTACTGAACAAAGGAGAGAGAGGTGATCCCATTGCCATACCGAAATCTTGTTGAAAAAATTCATTATTTAATTGGAAATAAGTAGTTTTAACACAAAGTGTCAACAATTCCAAAATATGTACTATCTATGTTTAATTTTGTTCTATCTATTAAATGTGTATCTTGTTCTAATCTATCCCTAACTATTTTAAGTGATTTATCTACCGGTACATTAGTGAAAAGACTAACAACGTCAAAACTAACCATTAAACTGTTAGGTGTTATATTAATTTTTGAATTTTTTTCTATAAAGTATGGTATGTTTTTAATGTATGAATCGGTGTTATTTGCAATCGGATTTAATATGTCTAGTAAAAATTTTGCTAACGGATGGCATGGAGAATTTATACTACTGACTATAGGTCTAAAAGGTATAATATATAACTATTTTATTTTGTAGATTTTTCTTGCAGTGCAGTGGCGAAAAACCCATAAGGATTTTTTTGGATAAAAATGTATTATTTAACAATACAAAAAATCAACCAAAGTGACTGGTTTAAAAGTGGCTGTGTGTGAAATCATTGCACAAGTGCATAAAAAATATCAATAACTCTATTTGACAGAATGTTATCTAAAACATGCACAACTTCATTTTCAATGAATTTTTCAGTTCAGTTTGTTAAGACAACACGATGGACAGCAAACGTTTTTGGTTACACTAAATTAAATAAAATATTCTTGTTTAAACTAGGTTGATTTATGTTAAAAAAGTATAAATAACGCATTTTTTAATTAATTTATAAAAAAAGTATAGAGTATCTTATATTTTTAAAAAGCTCAGAACAAGGCAAAAATAATAAAAAATAAAAGAGGTGTCCCATTTAAAAGAATCCTAAATTTGAATCATATTTCGAAAATGACAGCTTCCAGGGGAAAACTAGTTACGCCACTGGATTCCACGTGAAAAACTCTATGGGACACAGTTTTCAACTTTTCAATAAGTTATATGATAATCAAAATACATAGAGGGTAGAAAAGTGTAACGATTTAAATTTCGCCCTGTATTTCAGGAACTAAGAAGACTAAGACAAAATAAGTACCTGTACTCATAAACGAGAAACCCCATAAAATATACAAAAATGCGACACACTGTACAGTAGTAAATAAAATAATAAATAAGCAAACTAAATAAAATTATATATATTATTTACTTCTTTGTTTTTAGTCAGTTCTTTTTTGAGTAACACCACAGTATTGTCTAAATATTTCTTGCAAAATATTAAGAATTCTACAGCCAACTGACTTATTCTAAACATTTTAACAAAATTTTTATCAAGAATTTTTGTTTGTTCTTCCTCTAATAAATATTGTAAAATATCAGGAATACACTGATCAACAATAGCAACATCTCTTTCTTTTATAACCTTTTCTATATCAACAATACCTAAAATTTTATAGTTAAAAAAATATATAAAAAATGTCTATATTAATATAAACTTACATATTTTATTGTTATTTGGACTATTTGATCTCCATTTCTCAAATGAAAATCCAGTATCCCAGGCCAAGCGCACATAATCATAATGCCAGTTATTTTCCAAAGACATTTTAATGTAAAAACTGGTCAGATATATAAATTTATAATTTGTAAAAAAAACTTTTCAGACTAGAGGATAAGCACAAATAGTATGACCACTCTATTCAACCACCACTATTTAATACCTATATCTAGAAAACAACTCTATAACTAATAAATAAAAAAAATACTATAAACTACTAACTAATAAATTTGATTATCTACCACCAGAAATAATTAAGAATTCAGCCAAATAATCTGCGGATGAAATATTCTGCGGAAGAACGGATAAAAAAACCCGTAAGTGCAATAATTACCATAATGTCTATCTTCAATTTCATTGACCACATCGTGACTATTTTTAAATTCTCCATCAGATATATGATACTCATAGAAAAATTAATAATGTGTGGGCGTTTGTCTTTGGTCTAAGCATATTCTTTGAAATAAATATCATCTCTGAAACTGAAATCTGAAATAATTTGTAAACATCGACTAATGTCATCTGATGACATGAACTTTTTTAAATGTTTGTAAACAACGATGGTTATCCGTTACCGTGGCAACCATACGTAAAGGGGTGCCAACTCCCGCATCTCGCAGTTGAATATCCGTTAGATTCGTATACTAGGGTCGGCATTGGCTTGGTTGCGGATTTTCGTGTGTATACAGGCAGTGGCGGACTAAGCGTGTCGGGGGCCCGGGGTGGCGCAGTTAAATGTGGCCCCGGTCTGTTCCGATAATGATATACTTCTAATGCACATTTTGTAAAAATTGAATGACTTATGTATAATGGTTGATAAAATTGAAGTATTTATACAGGGTACCCCAGGCTGAGCCTGCATTAGAAGTTTCTAGAGAACTACAATATCTAGATCCGAGATTTTGTGCATATCATTGTTTCACAACGAGATCTATCGATTAAAAATATTTTCAATATGGCGGCACTTTCGGAAGTACCGGAAGTTGACAGCAACTTTCTTATTTCAAATGGGTGACCGCATTTTTTATTACTTACTTAAATGCTCTGTAAAATTTTATGAATTTTGATATTAAACACTCTAACCTAACGTTAACCGTTTTTGAGAAAAAAAATATTTATAATTTTTGGAGGCAAAAAACTGCCTGTCAAAAATATGTATATAGCCTAAACGTCAAATTTAGTGATTGCCACAGCCACTGTACCATAAAGAGACCGTAAGATATGTGGCTATCTATGTCAAAAATTAAATTGTCCGAATGTCATAATATAATAATGACCGCAGCTGTCATGGAATTGAGCGATTAAAAACTTATAAATAATTTTTTTTCAAATGGAAATTTGTTACTTTTTGACTATACATGTTCCTGTACCTAAAATTAATCGTTTTTAAGTTATTTAAGATTTAGCTTTAAAGCGTATATTTTTCTTGATTTTAACCAGTAGCCTATGACAGTAATTTTATCGATCATCATTTCCAAGCTAACTTTGCGCTGTCATGCGGTATATTTTTAAAATATCAACTATTAGATATCACTAAAGAACGAAAATACAAGATATATTTATATAAATACACTGCAAAATAAAAACACTAAATCACCACAATACACCAAAACACTTCAAAGTGTTTTGGTGTATTGTGGTGATTTAGTGTTTTTATTTTGCTCTGTAACACCAAAGGTTCCAACCCTCAACTGTAATAAATACACTTTTTAAAATTTTAAGCAGCAGTATTTATAATATTGGAAATTCAAATAATTCATTTTCTGACAGATGGAAATAAATTGTCTGACTGAAAAATAGTGTATTGCTTTATTAAGAGTAAAAATTATACTTTTTTTGACGATGCTGTACCTTTGAAGGACCATCGTAAAGCTATTCCGACGTTACAGGGAGGCACAAAAAGTACATTTTTTCTCCGAATAGAACATACTATTTTTTTTAAACATTACAAACATTTTTTTAATCAATTTCAAACATTGCAAATAATATAAACAGTAATCGAGCAACAATTTGTACACTCGTTGAATTTGACAGCTAATATCAGTTTAATAATATATTTTTGTACTTTTGTGCTTAGGCCAAACAGTGCTTTACTTTTCTGCTTAGGCGTTAAAATTACAAAAATTAATACTTTTGAGACGTTTGAAAAAAACGACGACTTTTTTGCGGAATATATTGGTGACCGATGTGGAAAAATCACACGCCACCTAGAATAATTGTTAATGTTATCGGTATCGGGGTATAGATTTAGCCATTTAGGATAGGACTTTAACTGGAAATAAGTTGGAAATCGTCATTTGGAAATCTGATTTAAATATTGTTTTAAATTAAAATCAAAAAAATCTGATTTCAATCAAAAAAATCTGATTTAAATCAAGAAAATCCAGAAAAGATCCAGCGGTTCTCAAAATTTTAGTAAAAAATATATTTTTTTTGGAAATTTTCAAAATAAAATAACTCCGTTATTTTGGACTTATTTGAAAACAATGAAGAGCAAATATGTTTCTTCTATCGAGATCTACCACCCCTTAAAATACTTGCACTTATTTCTGGGACACCCTGTGTATAACCACTTAATCCGACGCTAGATTTCATGCGCTTGGGAAAATACTTGGCCCTTCTTTCTTTATTCAGTACATGCTATTTTACTCAGCGTATTGACCGTACTCTTCGTATATACCCTTGTTTTCATAATCAAGGGTATACAGGGTGTCCCAGGCTGAGCGTGCATTAGAAGTTTCTAGAGAACCACAATATCTAGATCGGACATTTTTTGCACATCATTGTTTTGCAACGATCACGTTAATCTCTAATAGATCTTATTGATTAAAAATATTTTCAATATGGCGGCATTTCCGGAAATACCGGAACTTGAGCGCAACTTTCTTATTTTAAATGGGTGCCCCCATTTTTTATTACATACTTAATTTCTCTGTAAAATTCTATTAATATTAATGTCAAACACTCTATATCTAATATTAACCGTTTTTGAGAAAAAAAATATTTAAAGTTTCTGGACGAAAGAAACTACCTGTCAAAAAAAATTGTATAGCCTAAAAGTCAAATTTTGTGATCACCACAGCCACTGTGACATAAAGAGAAGACATGTGGCTATCTATTTCAAACATTAAATTGTTCAAATGTCATATAATAATGGCGGTAGCTGTCATGAAATTGAGCGATTAAAAAATTATCATAAACCATTTTTTTCAAATGGAAACCCCCTTTTTTATTTCACTAATGAAAAGGTTTTTCAATTCGTTACTTTTTAACTATGCATGTTCCTATACCTAAAATAAATAGTATTTAAGTTATTTAAGATTTAATTTGAAAACGTATATTCTTTCTTGATTTTATCTAGCTTCCTTTGACATTAAGTGTCAAACGGTCAAACAATTTATTTCCATCTGTCAGAAAATGAATTATTTGAATTTCCTATATTATAAATACTGTCTGCCTTAAGAGTTTAAAAAGTGTATTTATAAAAATACACGGTCCGGCAATAGTGCGTCGGGCATCTGTAGCTCCTAGAATAAAAAACTTGAGAATTTTGTTTAAGTGCAAACCTAAAGTATGTACCAGGATGTATTTCAGGAAAATATTTTAACTTCTATAGGGTGGCTCAAAAAAGCGTGAGTGGACCTGGATGATTTTTTAAATGGAACACCCTGTATATTATTGCATTTTTGGCTTTCTTTCCGATCACTTTACATAACCCTAAGATATGAATAAATACATTTCGATAGTTTCAGAGATATTAAAAATAAATCAAAAATATATATTTTTCTGCCCTTCTTAAAAAATATTAAAAATACAAGAACTGTTCTGAAATCAAAACTATATTAGGCATTTACTTTAGATGGTCTGTACTTAGTTTGCTATAAATATGAATATCGTAAATTATACAGGATGTTCAAATTCTACGCCAAACTTTCTAAAATATAAAATAATTTTTTCTTCGTTTTTTAAATGGAACACCCTGTATATTATTTTTTCAATAGACGGAGAATTAAAAATGAACATTTTTTATATTTACAGTATTTCAAAATTTTTAACGGTTTCGCAGATATTTGCGGTTTATATTTCATATGGCATTTTCCACAGTAAAACCCAATGATTTTCTCTCGTATTTTACCATTGAAAGCGCCATATGAAATAATACTGCATGTATCTGCGAAACCGTTCAGAATTTTGAAATACTCTAAATACAAAAATGTTCATTTTACACTCTCCATCTAATAAAAAAATATTATACAGGGTGTTCCATTTAAAAACAAAGAAAAAATATTTTATATTTTAGAAAGTTCGGCGTAAAATATTGAACATCCTGTAGGATTTTGATTACCATATTTATAGCAAAGTGAGAATAGACCATCTAAAGTAAATACCTAATATAGTTTGATTTCAGAACAGTTCTTGTATTTTTAATAATTTTTTAAGAAGGGCTGAAAAATATATATTTTTGATTTATTTTTTAATATCTCTGAAACTATCGAAATATATTTATTTATATCTTAGGTGTATGTAAAGTGATCTGAAAGGAATCCAAAAATGCAATAATATACAGGGTGTTCCATTTAAAAAAATCATCCAGGTCCACTCACACTTTTTTGAGCCACCCTATAGAAGTTAAACTATTTTCCTGAAATACATCCTGGTACATACTTTAGGTTTGCACTAAAACAAAATTCTCAAGTATTTTATTCTATGAGCTACAGATGCCCGACGCACTATTGCCGGACCCTGTATATCTCGTATTTTCGCTCTTTAGTGATATCTAATAGTTGATATTATTAATAATATTCCGTATCATCGAAAAAAAGCAGCGCAACGTTAGCTGGGGAAATGATGCTGCTTTTTGAACAAAGCGTCACAATATGATATGGCCAGATCTTGGGCCAGATCTATTGTTTTACATCACTTGACGGTTAAAGTCACATGCTACTGGTTAAAATCAAGAAAAATATATACTTTAAAACTAAATCTTAAATAACTTAAAAACGATTTATTTTAGGTATAGGATTATGTATAGTCAAGTAACGAATCGAAAAACTTTTTCACTAGTGAAATAAAAAAACTGGGTTTCCATTTGAAAAAAATGATATATGATAATTTTTTAAGCGCGGCCATTACTATATGACAGCTGCTGCCATTACTATATGACATTGGAACAATTTAATTTTCGAAATAGATAGTTTCCCTTTATGGCACAGTGGCTGTGGTAATCACTAAATTTGACGTTTAGGCTATACACATATTTTTGACAGGCAGTTTTTTTCGTTCAAAAATGTTAAATATTTTTTTTCTCATAAACGGTCAATGTTAGATATAGAGTGTTTAATATCTAAATTCATAAAATTTTACAGAGATCTTAAGTATGCAATATAAAATGGGGGTACCCATTTAAAATAAGAAAGTTGCTGTCAACTTCCGATATTTGCGGAAGTTCCGCCATATTGAAAATGTTTTTAATCGATAGACCTTATTGTGAAACTGTGTTGTGCAAAAAATCTCCGAGCTAGATGTTGTAGTTCTCTAGAAACTTCTAATGCACGCACAGCCTGGGACACCCTGTATACAGTGGCGGACTAAGGGGGGCGGAAGGGGCGGTCCGCCCCGGGCCCCGTCTTTTAGGGGGCCTCCAAATCTTAGTAAGTTTTTTTTAATCAATGTGTTCATTCAGTAGTTATGAAGCAGTTTGTATGTGGACTATGCAAACGATACGTATACGCCAACTATAAACAGTATAAATGGCAGCAGATATTTACTTAATTATCAATTATATCAGGCCCCAGTAATTGTCAATGGCATTTTCTATTTAGGGAATTAAATAAATGGATAATTTTCTTTGTTTAAAATATCGAATAATAATTATTTTTTATATATTTTGAGACTGAATTTATTTATTTTAGCTTTTAAGTTATTTTTCAATGGTTTCATTATTTATTTTTACTGAATAAACATTTCAAATTACAACCAATGCACAGCATAACTTGTATTCTAGCTTCTTTACCGATGAGCAGTGAAGTCTTTAGTATAACGGGGGCCACGGGCCTGAGACAGCGAAGGGGCCCCCTTAAGATTTAGTTTGAAAACGTATATTTTTCTTGATTTTATCTAGCTTCGTTTGACATGAAGTGTCAAACAGTCAGACAATTTATTTCCATCTGAAATGAAAAGAAAATGAATTATTTGAATTTCCTATATTATAACTACTGCTGCTTAAAAGTTTAAAAAGTGTATTTATATAAATATAAAAAAAAGATTGAAATTATTGGGCAACCTACAGTAAGATTAGCCACGAAACATGGTTAAAATACGACTACCCAACTATTTTTAGCCATGTTTCGTGGCTAATCTTACTGTAGGTTGCCCAATAATTTCATTCTTCTTTCTTATTATAGTCCCCACGATAACATATTTTGTTTATATGTAAATATATCTCGTATTTTCGTTCTTTAGTGATATCTAATAGTTCAGTAGTTGATATTTTAATAATATACCGTACGATCGAAAAAAAAATAGCGCAAAGTTAGCTTGGAAATGATGATCGATAATATATTGCCATAGGCTACTGGTTAAAATCAAGAAAAATATAGGTACGCTTTAAAACTAAATCTTAAATAACTTAAAAACGATTTATTTTAGGTACAGGAACATGTATAATCAAAAAGTAACAAATTTTTAAAGCGAAAGTAACGAAAGCCTTTTCACGAGTGAAATAAAAAAGTGGATTTCCATTTGAAAAAAAAATGATTTATCATAATTTTTTAATCGCTCAATTTATGACAGCTACCGCCATTATTATGACATTTGAACCAAGATTTGAACAATTTAATTTTTGACATAGATAGCCACATGTCTTCTCTTTATGGTACAGTGGCTGTGGCAATCACTAAATTTGACGTTTAGGCTATATACATATTTTTGACAGGCAGTTTTTTTCCTCCAAAAATTATCTTTTTTTCTTCATCTTTATGTACCGTCTCCATATCGGAGATTGGCTATCATCATTGCTATTTTGACCTTGGAAGTTGCGGCCCTAAATAGGTCAGATGACGTGACATTAAACTATTTTCGCAGGTTTCTGAGCCCAGGATATTCCAAAAATTATAAATTTTTTTTTTCTCAAAAACCGTTAACGTTAGGTATAGAGTGTTTAAAATCAAAATTCATAAAATTTTACAGAGAATTTAAGTATGTAATAAAAAATGGGGTCATCCAATTAAAATAAGAAAGTTACTGTCAACTTCCGGTACTTCCGAAAGTGCCGCCATATTGAAAATATTTTTAATCGATAGATCTCATTGTGAAAGAATGATATGCACAAAATGTCGTATCTATAGATATTGTAGTTCTCTAGAAACTTCTAACGCAGGCTCAACCTGGGACACCCTGTATAAATACTTGAATTTTGTCAACCATTAACATACGTCATTCAATTTTTACAAAATGTGCATTAGAAGTATATCATTATCTAAACAGACCGGGGGCCACATTTAGCTTCGCCGCTCCGGGCCCCTGACAAGCTTAGTACCTAAAGTTCTAGGGAAAGGTGTACATCATGCGTTCAGCTTTACGATTTAATTACGCGATACTTTATTTGTTTATTTATTAACGAATCGTTGTAATTGTCCCCAGAGCTTGAAAATTTTTAAGTGCAAGTTAGAAACACTTGCATTTTTGGTAAAAATAAGTGGAATTGAGTTGGTATTCGACAGTGGTCGCGCTATTAGAACTCTGAATTCAAAATGAATCGATATCTCAAAATCTATGAAAAATAATTGATTGCACTAACGATATCCTTATTATGCTCAGAAGCATATCTAATGATTTTATCTAGTTATATTTTCGAAAAAATAACGTCGTTTAAAAATAAACGGTTTGCGATCGTGATTTTACTTTACCTGACAGGGAAAGGCGTACCGGCAACGCCGCAACAGCACACCGTCGCATTTCTCTCACTCCGACTTAATAAGATCCCTATGCGATTTACTTCCACACATGTAAGTTCCGACCAGAGAAATAGAAGGGATAGAGAATGAGCGTCAACATGCGCAGAAGGTCTAATCAAGTTGGGCGCCATATTCCAGGTCTTCCTGTCATTTTGTATATAGGTGGTAATCTATAAGTAATCAAATATCAATTTGCTGTTTTCAACCATACGGGGGGCAATTTAAATTTAGTGAAATTCTGACAGCTGTTTGCATTTTGTACAAATCTCATTGGTTCTTTTGACGTGTAGCTGGCGACAGTCGCTGTTCTGAGAACGGGGCTTTAATCAAATAGTATTTGATATATCGAATATAGTCTATAAAATGAATAACTTTGAATTTTGACCGTTATTTTTTACCAACATGGCAAATATAAAATCCCCCTATCAAAAAATTTACTGATATTCTTTCAATTGAGTGCCTGAACGAATCAGATAGGTAACTCTTTTTACTTTCTTGAAATAGAAAAGGAAAATAATAAAACAAGTGACAGTTCTTCTTGCAAAAATCAACAAGAAATGTCATAATTGACAAAAGTAAAATGTCATCAGCTTTTGACATTTCTAAATATTAGACCAATGCCGTCTCAAATAGAACAGCCACGGAGCGAGATTTATGACGTCACGCTAGTTAGATACTACGGATTAATAAATATGTTGTAGAATACATGGAAAAAATAATTATTCCTCGTATTTTTGGTTTGTATTTTAAAATGATATAGTTTATGGAAATATATATAATATACAGTTAATAAATACAATATAATATATACCTATTTATAGTAATAAATACTTTGGCAAATAAAACTATGAACCATACAAATGCAGCAAATGTTTTAGAATATACAAATAATGAATAGGTGGTACATAAGATAATGGGTAAAATGTAAAATATATTTTAAATTTTGGGGTTTGAAAATCAATCTAATTTAACAAAAAAACATTCAATATCTACTAATAGTGATGTATTATTATTTGCATTCACAAAATTTATTTATATATTATAATGTTTACTGCAATTAATAAACTAATATAAACTTGTCAAAAGGTGACCACATGTTTTTTTAAATTATTATTCTTAACACAAAAACTATCTACATTGACTATGGAGTACGATTTCAGCCATATTGTAAAATATTTGCTGCATTTGTATGGTTCATAGTTTATGCCAAAGTATTTATTACTATAAATAGGTATATATATTGTATTTATTATCTGTATATTATGTATATTTCATGTAAACTATATGATTTTTAATATACAAACCAAAAATACGAGGAATATATATGTTTTCCATCCAACATATTTATTAATCCATAGTATCTAACTAGCGTGACGTCATAAATCTCGCTCCGAGGCTGTTCTATTAGAGACGGCATTGAGTCAGCATGGCCGCAAGTTGCTAACCTAATAAAATTAACACTAGAAAAGCCCGCGGGAACTGTCAAATTCAAAGTTATTCGTTTTACAGACTATAGAAGCAATCCTTCGACTGGCAAATATCGATATTTTCGATGCCATCGACGTACCTTCCACATCTCTAACTAAAAAATGTCACTATTGGTCACGTGATTGGTCACTGTCACTGTCACATGTCACATAACCTGACATAACCCTACATATTTAGATCGTTTTTGTTGTTTTTGCAAATTTAAAAAGTAATAAAAAATAACAAAAACCGGAACGTGTATTAAATACCTAACAAAATATGTGGGAGAAAACATTAAAAATGTGTTGAATTTTGATAAACGGAATTTTGTATATTTTTGGAAAAACGATATGTGACAGCCAAAAGAAGTTCAGATTCGCAATCTACAACCCCAAAATAGGCGGTATACAAATTTTTCTGGAAAAATAACTTTCCAGTATAATCAATAATTATACAGTAATTATTTATTTCAGTTCATTGACGTTATTACAATTCCTAGATAAAAGCCCAAAAGCTGTAAAATGGTTAGTTGTGCAGCATGTGGTTGCAGCCAGACAAAAACCACAAAAGATAAGGGGATGACATTTCATAAGTAATTATTAATTAATAAGTATAATTTAGCAAAATAAAACAGTAATTCACCAATTATTGTGCGTCCAGTGTTAAAAGTAAACTGTTTTGCTGTATTGATATACTTTATTTGATCCACAAGGAAACATTTACAATTTAGTGTTGAATGTGGTGAATTATATATATAGATGTTGGGCGATTAGTGATGATTGTGATGAATTAGTGTTTTATTTTGCTGTTGTAACACTAAAAGGTTTCAACCCCCAACTGCAATGTATAATATAAGCTACGAGATCAATAGAATAAGAAATTTACCTAAGTATTAGTGTATACACATCTTTACTGGCACAAAATTTCATAAAATACGAATTTTATAAGGTGGTGAATTTTTCAATAATATCTCATGAAAAATCGGCCATTATGCCCATTTGCCACCAAAAAATAAGAACTTTAAGGAGTAGCCCAACCACCAATCAATTTTGTCTTTACTGAGGTTTTTAGAGAAATTATATAATAAATACTCCTTTGTCTTTTAGGTTTCCAAAAAATGAAAAAATAAGAAAATTTTGGATTGAGTTTGTCAATAGACCTAATTGGACGCCTGCCAAACAATCCTGTTTGTGTAGCTCACATTTTTCACAGGAGTGTTTTGATAGAAGTTCCTCATTGATAGTGAGACTGCGTGAAAATGCTTTACCTACACTTACAGTTACTAGAGTGAAATATGTTAGTATCAATTAACAAGGTTTCATATTAGCTTCTAGAACAAACAGAACTGCAGAATAATAGCAATAAATATTTTTTAGGTTCGTTCTTTTTATGAAGAAGAATGTTTTAGTGAACCTTCTACTAGCCAAGCAGCACAATTACTAATGCAAGAAGTAGAGGCAAATATACCTAAATCTGCGACCTGCAACTTTACGGTTAACTCGAAAAACCAAGATGACAATAGTCAAGTTTCTACCCCTATAAACTCCTCTCAGTTTGTAGACTGTAAAATTGAAGTGAAAGTTGAAAACCAAGATTACATTTTTGCTGAGGCCCCTAGCCCTATAACTTCTCTTCAATTAACTCCTGATGATACCACTCGTTTGTTTTTGGAAAGAAAATTGAATGAGATGTATAAAATGGACAAAATTAAATCTAATAAAATTAGGTATCTCCAGAAAAAAAATTGGGCTCAAAAGAAAAAGATTACTGCCCTAACCACTATTGTCGCGGATCTTAAAAGCAAAAATGTATTTCTGAAGAGTATGGCGAAACAATGTCTAGTGCAGCAGTATAATTCAAACGACCATACATACCATTACACCATATAATCGAAAAGAAATGGCGTCGAGTTGGCACAGAAATGAACATCGATGACATTTCCCATATACATGGTTGTTCACCACATATGACACGGAGTACTGTGGCTAAACGATTAGATTTTTACAAATTTAAGTTTTGGGTTTGTTGAAGGACCGTTAGAGCTGCAATTTAAAAATAATTTTACAAGATACAGAGTGTCCCAAATAAGTAAAAAATATAGTTGTATTTTTTTAAATGGAACACCCTGTATATTTATTATATTTTTAGATTCCACGATTGAAATAAAGGTAAATTTGATTAAGGTTTATCACACTTAAACATTACCGTTTTTTAAATATTTTCAATTTTGTGAAATTGCAGTAAAAAAATTAAGGCTTCATTTCTCCAAGGGTATCATGGTTTTTAATACTAATTATTTACTGAAGATTATTTATTGATCAGATATTGTGTTGCAATAATAAATATTATATTACCTTAGAAAGAGTGTCCAAAAATGTATATTAAATAATTACTTGGTTTATAACCGCAATAACTTGTTTAATTTAAATAGAACACCCTGTATATCTTACTTGAATCAGATGCATACTTTAAAATTTGTTACATCTTTAAAAATAATCTAAAATATCAATATTCTATGGGTATAGTGATAAATGAGGTCTAAATTGATAAAATGATTGAAAATGCATTTTCTACGAAAAATTGAAGAGATATATAGGTAAAAAATGGTATAATACTATTTGATAGACAATCAAATTATGCATCTGACACTCGTAAAATATACAGGGTGTCCTATTTAAATTAAACAAGTTATTGCCATTTAAAGCTAGTAATTACTTAATATAAATTTTTAGACACTCTGTATAGGGTAGTATTTTGTTTATTATCGCAACACAATATCTGATCAATAAATAAACTTCAGTAAATATTTAGTATTAAAATAAAAAAATTAGTATTAAAATCTTTGATACCCTTGGAGATACGAAGCCTTAAAACATTTAATGCAAAATCAAAAAATTGAAAATATTTCAAAAACGGTAAGGTTTTAAGTGTTATAAACCTTAATCAAATATTTACCTTTATTTCAATATTGTAGAATCTAAAAATAAAATAATATACAGGATGTTCCATTTAAAAAAAACACAGCTATAATATTTTTTACCTACTTGGGACACTCTGTATCTTGTAAAAATATTTTTAAAAAAATTAATTTTGTAGCTCTAATAGTCCTAATTTGTAAAAATCTAATTGTTTAGCTACAATACTCCGTGTCGTATGTAGTGAACCACCAAACCAAACCGAACCTGTATATAATATAATTTTACATATAAAATGACAGAGCGATCTTCATTTCATAGCCATCCCTGACGCTGTCTTTTTTCAGTCATATTGTACAGTACGTAAATGATTGATTCAAAAATCTACAAAAAGAAACAAAACATTCTCAGTTTGAACGTTGTTTGGTGGTTAGGGAGTTCTATTTGTTCTTGTGTTTAATAACAGCCAAATAAAATACTAGTTCACCACAATACATCAAAACACTACTTTTTACACTGGACGCGCGAATCGCTAACCAAAGGCAGATGATTACAAGTAATGTCAGTGTTTGTAAAGTATTTTGGTGTATCGTGCTAAATTATAGGTGTTTTATTTTGCTATTGTAACGCCAAGAGTTCAAACCCCAACTCTATTGTGTTTATAACATTTATAAACACACATATATATATATATATATTTATAACATTTATAAATATATATTATAACATATATAACATTTATTATAGGACAATTTTAGTGTACTCTGTACAGGGTGCTACAAATTCCGGATACGAGCATTGGTATATCGCAAACTGTAATAGATATGAAGATGGTTAAGGTTTGGGGCAAAGTTGCGCCTTGGGATGTTTGCCTTTTGATGCTATCAAATCTTTCAAGGATTACTGAGTTTCTTGAGAAAAACGGATTTTTTTGAAAATAAATTTTATTTTTTCCTGTTGTTACTTTTTACAAAATCAAAAAACTAATTGCACATTCTCATAGCCACTTTATTAGGGCTATCTGATTATTTTTAGATTTGAATTTTAGAATCTGAGTATTTTTAGATTTTCAAATTAGCTGATAATTTGTGAAATACATAGGCCATCTTTTTTTTTAAATACGAACCTGCATTTTTTATTTCAGGTTTTGAAAGAATTGAGTCTCTAGTCTCTTGAGTACAACAATATGCCACACTTAACATTTTTTTTTTGTTTTGGGTCCTTTAACAACAACAAAACTAATTATTAATTAAAATAATTTCAGGTCCGACTCTGTTTTTTTTATTTAACCTGATTATACAGGGTTGTTCGCCACATACGACACGGAGTATTGTAGCTAAACGATGAGATTTTTACAAATTGTAAGTTTTGGGTTCGATGAAGGACTATTAGAGGTACAATTTAAAAATAATTTTACAAGATACAGAGTGTCCCAAATAAGTAAAAAATATCAAAGTTGTATTTTTTTAAATGGAACACCCTGTATATTATTACATTTTTAGTTTCTACGATTAAAATAAAGGTAAATTTGATTAAGATTTATTATACTTAAACCTTACCGTTTTTGAAATATTTTCAATTTTGTGAAATTGCAGTAAAAATTTTAAGGCTTCATTTCTCCAAGGGTATCAAAGTTTTTAATACTAAATATTTACTGAAGTTTATTTACTGATCAGTTGTTGTGTTGCAATAATACAAAATTATACTACCTTATACAGAGTGTCTAAAAATTTATTTTAAATAATTATTAGCTTCAAACGGCAATAACTTGTTTAATTTAAATGGAACACCCTGTATATTTTACGAGAATCAGATGCACAATTTAATTGTCTATCAAATTATATTATACCATTTTTTACCTATCTCTTTAAGTTTCCGTAGAAAATGCATTTTCTTGTAATTTAGAACTTATTTATCAATATACCCATGGACTATTGACATTTTAGATTATTTTTAAAGATGTACCAAATTTTTAAAGAGTACAGATACTAATATTGTCGATATAATTCGTTTATTTCATTAAAAACTAAAAAAAAACTGTTTAAATATTTGTTAAAGAGGACCAATTAATAGGATTCCAGTATTCAAACTACATTAACTGACTGTTTGCGTTGATTAATAATAATTGCTCCAAATACTAAAAAACTGAATTTTGTATGGGCATTAGACTGTGTTATAAAAGTAACACCTTAAAATGATATTTCATTTTTAATAAATGCTTATTTATAACAACAGAGACTTTAATTTGATAACTTATTATTATATTGATTTCTGACTCAAATCCACATTTATTTATAATAATTTATTAACGAACACAATTAAGTATGTAATTAATTAGTATATGGGCGGAAATAATGGTGTTATATTTAATTAATGGTACACTCTTTTATAAAGATTTAAATAGTTTTCTTTTTGCATACAAATGGGCTAGTAATATTATCGTTTTGCTAAAAACGATAATATTACTAGTCTACATTTTGTACATTTGTTGCTTTAAAAACAATCTAAAATGTCAATATTCCATGGATATATTGATAAATGAGGTCTAAATTATAAGAAAATGCATTTTCTACGAAAACCTGAAGGGATAGGTAAAAAATGCTATAATACAATTTGATAGACAATTTAATTGTGCATCTGATTGTCCTAAAATATACAGGGCATTCTATTTAAATTAAAGAAGTTATTGCCGTTTGAAGCTAATAATTATTTAAAATAAATTTTTAGACACTCTGTATAAGGTAGTGTTGTTTTTTATTATTGCAACATAATAACTGATCAATAAATAAACTTCATTAAATATTTAGTATTAAAAACATTGATACACTTGGAGAAATGAAGCTTTAAAATTTTTACTGCAATTTCACAAAATTGAAAATATTTCAAAAACGGTAAGGTTTAAGTATAATAAACCTTAATCAAATTTACCTTTATTTTAATCGTAGAAACTAAAAATGTAATAATATACAGGGTGTTCCATTTAAAAATACAACTTTGATATTTTTTATTTATTTGGGACACTCTGTATCTTGTAAAAATATTTTTAAATTGTAGCTCTAATAGTCCTTCAACGAACCCCAAACTTACAATTTGTAAAAATCTGATCGTTTAGCTACAATACTCCGTGTCGTATATGGTGAACAACCCTGTATTCATCGCAACAACTTTGATGAGTGCTAATTAACATTGAATATAGAAAAACGAGCCAATTGAAAGATTCAAATAAATAATATCCAGGTCAGCAATTTTAAGATATTATTTATAACTTTTTTATTGTGAATTTGAAATCTCAATGAATGATCTAATGATATGTATAATATTAATCGTAGTTATTATAAATAAATCAACTTCTACAAACTAGTTTCTAATGCTCTACATGTTACCCCCCCCCCCCTAATGCACAAATTTATTTTTTGTTCAATTTTATGTATAGCTCTTTCAACAAATCTTATATTCCCGAATGCATTTTGTACTCTTTGTGTTGAGGTGTATTGATTTTACTTTTACAAATGGCGGTAAGTAATGCCCCTTGCTTCTTGGCGACAGGTACAGGAACCTCGCTGGCCATTATACTGCTCCACGATATCCAATCCATCTTCCGGAGAAATTATTTGATTGTTTATATTATTTGTATTATTAATTGTATATATTTTTTTATTATTTTATTTGATTTCACTTCACTTCTTCTGTTATTTTATTTGATTTCACTCACGTCATTTGTAAGTTTTAAAACTTATCAATATTGTAACGATGAATAAATTAAATATTTAAAAAAAACAGAACCGGACTTGAAATCAGTTTAAATAAATTGTGTTTAAATGTCCCAAAACAAAAAAAAACATTAAATGTGGCATATCATTTTACTCAGGAGACCGAATTCTTTCAAAAACTAAAATAAAAAATGCAGGTCCATATTTAAAAAAAAAGTTGGCCAATGTATCTCACAAATTATCAGTTAATTTGAAAATCTGAAAATACTATCAGATAGCCCTGATAAAGTGGGTATTAGAATGTGCAATTAGATTTTTGATTTCCTAAAAAATACAGACAGGAAAAAATAAAATTGATTTTCAAAAAAATCCGTTTTTT